ATAACCATCTTTAGAAACTCTGCTTAAAAGACAGCACTAGATGTAAGAATGGACTTAAAAGTGAATAAGAGAACAAGCCAGCTTATGTCAGCTTTAAGTAACAAAAGAGAAATGAAAGTCTTATAAAATGCAAAATGTGATTCTGAAAGGTTATTTGCAGTAGCAATCCAAGGGGTGGGCCTAAATCTCAAGTCCTAAACAAGCTTATGACTCTGAAAAGTACTCCTCTAGCCCTGTGCTGTTCTCAGCTGTTAGGATAAGCTAGGGAGGCACTCAATTTGTTAGTTCCAGTAACTTTCTTAGAGGAAAGCCCTTAGAACCAGTATTTCAGGCAAACCCAAAGGTTACCTGGTTGTTCCAACGCCCACCCGTGTTTCCCATTGCACCGGCTTCCACATGGAATGGTTAGATTGTTCTTTCAACAGTCCCACTTCTGCTCAGAGACCTGGCTGACGGCTTTTGTTCACCAAAGAAAAACCTTTCTTTAAGGTCTTAAGTCATCTGCAACTCCAATAGGGGTCTTTCTTTAGGTTGAGCAAAGTTCTCCCAAGACACAGCAGATGTCCTAAATGAGAACTTTGAATTTAAACAGGTATCAGTGTACATTAAAACACTAGGGATTTGTGACCCCAAAGCAGGGAATCTTACTTTTTAAGCTGGGAAAACTTCCAGAGCATATGGCTTGAGAGGATTCCATGGAAACAACCACAGAACTCATACCGGGGAGCAACATAAGCCTAAACTCTAGTCTCAGCTATAAGCCTTCGTGCTTGCTGAGTGACTTTGGACAAGTTACTTACTTCTCTGAACTCAGTTTCCTCATCTTAAAATAAGACTGATAACAGCATCTAGTACTCAGGGCCACATGATAATAAATGCAGGAACAATGCTTGGAACACAGCAATTCTCCATACATGACGGCTACTTTTAACACTGACATTTCTCTGCCTTACAGAGAGCCCCATCACAAACCTCCAACGGACACTGCGGGGGTCCTGCATGAAGTCACTTCCTTTCAACCATTTAATTTCTCAGATCCTTAGGTTCATAAACTTGTATAATCCATGACACTGTGTTGGAGGGAGTAGGGGGAAGAGACTAAGAAGTCAAGTCCTCATTTTGGAAAAGAGACCCTCAAGTCCCAGAGTGGTGACATGTGCACACACAACAGCAGGAGAACCCCCAGCTCTGACAGGATGACAGGTGAAGCCCCCAGGATGGGAAACTGGCCCCTTGTAGCCAGCTCCAGTGCCCCACCTCACCCAGTGCCCTTTAAGGGCTGCTCTACTTTCATGGCTTCCTCGTGTCCCTCTGATTAATGGTGTCTCAGACATTTCATACAATGCAATTAAGCATTATAAGCAGTAAGGGAAGGGGCATCACAATCTTGTACATAACCTTGAGATGCTTTAAAATTCCTATGTAAAAGTACTCACATCATCGTAGATTTCCAATCTCTTATAATGATACTTACTTTAATTTGGGATTTAAAGTTGACAAAGGTCTTAATGAATAGGCAGGACAAAGGGAGCTGTCTATCCACAGCTCATCAGCTCCTAAGCTAATGCTTCTCATAGGGACAAGAGTCAGCCAAAGGACAGAGCTCAAGGCAAATGGAAAACATTCCTCCTGCCCACAGATCATGGATTATTGCCTGGGCTCTGAGAGGCAAATCTTACAAGATGCTCCCTAGCTTTCTCTCAGAGCATCTACCAGCTAACTTGTACATTCTGTCATTCACCTGCATCAACTGTTACTGGAGGCTTACTATATGCCTGGCACATGAGTTTCTTCATGCAGTCCTCATGACTATAACAGTTCATCTAATCTAAGACCGTGTACAAAACAAGGAAGCCACTGCCTAAAGCTGTAAGACCCCATAGATAAGATGCTTTTTTTCAGAAATGTTAAGATGAGACAAATTGAATTGTCTTGGTATTGTTGGATATTGTCCCATTTTACAGATAAAGAAACTAAAGTACACAAAGAGAAAACATAATTTGCCTAAGGTCACAGAGCTGGAAAATGGCAGCACTGGAATACAGACTTGGTAAGACTAGTCACCTTTTCACTGCAATAAACTCAAATTTCCCAATGAATTACTGAAAAATGCACTGGGCAGAGAGGCAGGACATGGGGTGCTAACTCTCACTCTACCATGAGCACAGTAACTGTGGCAATTCTCTGAACACCTCTGAACCTGACTTTTCATATGTTCAAAGGTGGTACAGTGTAAACTCTCTAATAAACTGCTGTTTTTCTGGGAAAAGCAACATGGTACAATGGAAAAAGCACATTTTGAATCAGAAAATCCTCAACTGAAATTGTTATGCCACCATCTAACCAGCTTATCACCCTGTGTAAGTTACTGAACTGCTCTGAACCTCAGTCTCCTCTTCTATAAAAGGAGGCTGCCACCATCAATCTCCCTAGAGGGCTGCTTGACGACTGGATAGAAGACACATATATATGAAGGGAGACAGTAGTACGTGGCAGGGTTGGGATTCAACAAATGCTCTCTTTCCCATATTTGCTGCCTTCTGCTTTGGGAAAGAATAAAAAAACAAACATTCCTTATGACTCCAACAATTCCCAAGGGGGATCATCAGGTGAGAATAAGGATCAGCAGAAGGCAATAGACCCTGAAGGATACTCAGGCAAAGAAAATAAACTGGAAGCGCCTGGAGGACAGGGGCAGGGTTTATTTAATGAACTTCCAAACTTCGGAATAAATGGACAGGAAAAGGAAAAAAAGAAAGACCAGGAACTTAATACTGCCAAAAGATACGGGTCAGTAGATATGAGAATGCTGGTAGTTTATACTAAACCAGAAAACAGAAAAACCAGTCTTTGAAGATTCAGTATGACACCAAAATTTATCTACAGTGGGAAGAATTTCCCTGTTCCTCTGCTTTCTTCTCATGCTGAGTAATGTTCTGTGCACTTCTCCCCTTTCTTTCCTCAAGAGCTTCATAAAATCAGAAGATGCCAGCTTTAGACTTGGAGGGAAGGCGAATCATATGGAATGTAGAAACAAACTCTTGATCTGTTTTTATCCCCCCATTGACCCATAATGCCTCACAGTTTGTGGCAGGCACACAGCTGACTCTCAATAAAATATTCATTTAGTTGAATGAATATTTTTTTTTACTACATGCAATCTGTTTTGGACCAAAACTCCAAGACATCTTACACATTTATTCTACCTGAAAGCCTGATTTTTCCTTTCTTCTCAGAAACAGTCACAATCTCAATAAACAAGCCATACACGTGGTGTACGCTGTTTCTACTTGCTTTTCTAACCTCCCAATGTCCAGCAGTCAGCCCAACCAAACTTCTACACTTCCCTCCCGCCCATCCCAGCCCTTGGGTTACCTGGCAGTTGTCTCAATCACTACCATCTTCTGATGTTAATCAGTTTGTTAATCTCCTTACTCTCAGGCATAGCACCTTCCTCTGGAGATAAATGTGCACACAAGTTGAGTTCACGCAGAGCCTCTCACACTCCCATTGCAGCCGTCACGGACACTCCCAGAGATATACCCAAGTGAGAGAAACTAGAGGGCAAAAATCCCACTCTAGCCCCATCACCTCAGAAGGCCTACTTGTTTTCTAAAAGTTTAGACCAACTACCAACTTTTGGGAGAATTAGAAAGCATACTGGAACAGCTTGGGTAAGAGCTAATAGAAATGGCAGCTTCACTCTTCCATACTTCCTATGAGATAAGCTTCACTGTGTCACCAAGCTCTAGACTCACAAACCTAGACTCCTCGCACACTGTCTACCCCAGAGTTCAAGGATCATTTGCCCCTCCATGTTTTCCTTATTGATATCCATATAGAAGTCACTCATTGTTTCCCTTCCAGCTTAAATCTGGCTCCTGAAAGAACTTTAAAATTCTCTGGTAAGATTCATCAAAACACGCAAGACTGGTTCCTTTCAATTCTGGTGCAGAGCGGCCACGCCACGGTATCAAGTCCTGGGACTTCAAACATGAATATGGCACCAAGCATGCCTTCAAGGAGCCCAGGCTTTCCCTTCAACTGTAAAAAAACCATGTCCTCTCTGTGCAGTGTCTGTAACACGTAGTGACAAAGTACTTCTCAGCTTTGGAGAAAAGAGCGAGGATGGAAATAGATTTTGCCCTTACATTTGATGCCCTGTATCCATAACAACGGATGGTTTAAGTAACCATCAACCCACTGAGGGAATAAGTTTCCCAAAAACCATTTTCAAAAGGGGAAAACTCCCCTGCAACAACTCCCGCGTCAGACACGGGATCTGGGCAGCGTGCGTGGTGCAGCTGAAGTCGGCTGCTGGTTCCCTGTCTCGGTCCCACCGCTTCATCAGTGCGCTCGCCGGCGGCCACAGCCTCCGCCGTCACACAGCGCTCCCGGGCAGGGCACCTGGCGCTAGGCCTCGGCCCAATGTCACTTGTTAACCTTCGGATCCCCGACTTTCGGCACGCCGCCGCCTCAGGTCTAAGGCATGCAAACCACCCCACCGTCACCCGGGATCTCCAAGAGTTGGAGAAAAACAACCCGAGGCGCAGCCGGCCTCTGACGGATCCGTGTAAAAGTAACCGCTGTTCTCGACTTGCAAGCCTTTCACGACGGGCGCGGCAGGAAACGGAGCCCCATTCATAAAACTACAGCTGTGTTCCCTCAGTTTGCCTGTGGACGGTCCTCCCCCGCCGCGGCCGAACCCCGAGCCGGGAGCCCGCGGACGGCAGGCTGGGGCGACGCGCCGAGGGCACCGCCGGTCGCCCCACACGGCCCCAGAGGAAGGAAGGGCTCCCCTGGCGGCGTCGCGGGTGGGCGGTCCTGGCAACACCCGGGCCCTGACGGCGGAGCCGCAGGGGGCCCGGCCCTGCGCCCCACCGCGCCAACGGCCGCGGGCCCCCGGGCGCACCCTGAACCCCACGGGTCGGACCGCCCCGAGCCCGGGCCTTTTCCGTCGGCGACTCCTCCACCGCCCCTCCTGGCCCCGGCGCGCTCACCCGGGATCCGCGGGCTGCCTCATGGCACTGCGCCCGCGCCGGTGATCCGCGGCCGCCACGGCTCCGACTCGGGCTCAGCTCCGGCAGCTGTCCTGCCGCCCGCCCGCCCCCGGGCACCGGCAGCCCCGCCCCACCGGCGGACCCGCCCCGCGCTCGCGGCCGCCGCTGCCAACCATAGGTGGCGGGGGCGGAGCAGGCGGAGAGCCAGACCCAGCCAATCCAGGCCCTACCCGCGCGCCTAGGAGCGGCCCCGGAAATGGGCTGCCGATTGGTCTGGTCTGTTAAAGGGGCCACTGCCCCAAGAAGGGGCTTTGGAAAGGGGTGACAGCAGGGTTACTAGGAGAGTACGGGTGGGAGGGGTAAGAGCTTCTCTTCTCTCACAACCCGCTGCGGCGCTTTCCCCTATTCTTTGCACTTACTAATTTTCTCTTCTTGCAGCCAAGCATCAAATGGAAACAGAACCTGCCCCAGTCAGAGGGAGAAACTGAGGCTCCGAGAATCAGGGGTCTCCTGCTGGGCAAATTCACTCAAATTTGGGTTTTAGAGGGCCGTCAGACACCTGTATCCCCGTCCAATCTCCGAAAAAGGCATATTCTCAACCTCATCCTGGAGGATCTTAACATGCAGATCCCTAGGTCCCACCCAGAGCCTCCAGTTCTCTGTGTCTGAAATGGGACGGAGTTGAGTGTGGGGTGGATATACGCATTTTTCAACATCCTTCCCCCAAGATGCACAAGATTTAAGTGTACAAGAGTCACACTCATATACATATTCCAAGAGCATCATAATGATGAACTTCAAATTCAACCGCCAGAAATAAAGCTAAACCGTTTTTTATCCTCAAAATCAGTAATATGGTTGGGAGACTTGCTAGTTGGGCTGGAGGTTACCTACTGAGAAACTCCGATTCGTTCTCTGAGTGGGTCACACTAAGAACTGAACTTGAAGGGTGCTGGACTGAATGGAGCAACAAGCCAGTCTTGCCCTCTGACTCCTGAGACAATGCTTAAATGTCCTCATGGCAAACACACCCTTTCTCATTGCCATCACCAGGCCCAGTCATAACCTCCAGGAGGGTGCCTTGCCCTTCTGGGGCTTCATTCCAATGCCATTCAAACCCTGCCCACCCTACCAGCCACTTTCCTCTCCCCACCTTGGTGTTCCAGACACACATCTGACCCAGAAGCTGCTGCCCTCACCTTCAAGGTCAGCCTCCTAACATCTAGCCCCTTCAGGGAGGAGTGAATGGCCACCATAGGACAACCCATGTTTTGCTGTGATACATGATGGGTGCTGCGTTTGCCAGGACAGCTCTGCATGCACTGATCAGCCTGGTCAGAGTTAAGGCTCTGGGCTGCAGACATCACTGCCTGGGATCACCATTTACCTCACCTTGGCCTTCCAGTGGAAAAGTAAAACCAGTCTTAGCAAAGAAGGGCTCCAGTTTTGGATATCTGGAAATGTGCAACAAGGGCAGTTATCAGTGGAGGAACAGCCAAGGCTCTTCTTGGTTGCATCTTATGACTTCCTTCTCAGGAGAAGGGGTGGAGATGGGCCCCAAAGCTGCACCACTGTAAGGGGCCTTGGAAGCTGGTAATACATCTCTTTGCCCATGACAAGCCGTACATAAATGTTAGATTAGTTAATACATTATCAACCTGACCTCAAACTAGAGGCCAAAAAGAACCAGCATGAACTCTTAGAAGGAGCCCTTCTTTTTAAAAAGTGAGGAAGTTGGATTCTTTGAAAAATAAGTGAACATATAATAACCTAGTAATACACTTTCTACTTATTAAAAGGTATCAGATTTGTATCAGATACTATGTCTAGGCCTTTACACGTATTCAACGAAAACATACACTAACCCTGAGTGGTAGGTAGGATTGTTATTTTCTCTATTTTACAGATGCAGAAATTGGAGCTCACAGAGGATGGTGATGAGTGCAAGATCGCAAGACTAGCTAAGAGAGGAGCCAGCATTCATGGTCCTAATGACCAGGCTCCTCTGAACTACTTTGCTCCAGTGCCTGCCAAAGTACCCTTTCTTGTTGCCAGAAACAGAATGGATAACTTCAAGAGGAAAAGAAGCAAATACACTAATCTTCACCAAAAGACAGTATAATATAGGAGCAATACCTTGAGAGTTTAAATTCCATTGCTCTAACTTCCAGCTGTGTGACCTGGAACAAGTTATATAATTAAATCTCTTTGAGCCTCAGATTGCTCATCTATAAAATGGGATAATAAATCCTGCCTCCTTGGGCTGGCAAGAAAATCAGGTCAAATAAAGAGTATGTCTATGAATATACATGTACTTTGAACTTGCAAATGAAAAGAGTGATTTTAGTGCTTGGCATCTGTGACTCATGACAGCGACCTATGACAGAGGTCAGGGATGTGATATGAAATTCTGGTATCAAGCAAGATTCCTTACTTTGCCTCCCTGGAATAGCTGCTCTATATGTACAGCATTACAAAGGGAACTAAATTTTCCACCTACAGTAGGGGTAGAAGTTATAGAAATCCAAGCCCAAGTTATTAGCCTGGCATCTGTCCCCCTTACCCCCATCATCAGCCCAGAGTTAGAACCCAGGCTTCAGCCTAAGCCTACATGAGCTCTAGGAGACTTGAATTACTCTGAATTATGACATTTCAAGATAATCCCTATTTTCTCATGAAGTGCTAAACCAAAAAATGCTTTTAAGATGTTTGTATTCCATTTTTTTGACACTGCATTGTGCTTTTGGAGGGAGAAATGGTTATAAAGTAAATGAAAAAAATAGTTGATCCACTCATACACCTAAAAAAAGGTTAAGGATCCATTGTGTGGCAAGCTGCACCAGGAACGAGAAATCACTGCTGGGGGAGCAGGTAGAAATGAAGGTACTTATAAAAAAGGGGGACTTCTGGCCCTAGATCTAGCAGAGAAAGATGAAGCTGAAAAACCATTACAAGCATCCACAAAGGTAAGCCCAGTAGCTAAATGACACAGAATAGGCACTTATAAGCCCTGGGGAACCCCAATAATGTTTTAGGGGTGGCCAGATAAAGCCTATTAAGAAGAGAAACCAGAAAGGTGAGGAAAACCCAAGTAAGAGTGTCATCACTAAAGTCGAGGGAGAAGGGATTGGAAAGGAAGGAGCGGGCACTACCTCAGGAGGGTCAACTTAGAAGAGGCATGACAGTACACCTTGGGATTTGGAAATTAGAAGGTCATTGGGGTCGCTGATAAAAGCAATGTAGGTGGGGCTGGAAATTCCGAGGCTCCCAGAAGGAGGGCTGAGAACTAAGAAAAGAGAATGAAGAGGCTGGCCCCAAGAGGACGGATGGGACAGGGTCGCTGGGGGCCCAGGGCTTGGGGGAGTTGCCCTGGGGCAGGAAGAGGGTCTGCTCTTCCAGGTGAGAATGGATGTGATTGCAGACACATTCATAGGAAGTTGAGGAAATTCCTGCCTGCTGGCTTCTATTTTTCTAGATCTAAAATGAGAAAGTCATCTTTTTAAAAGTGGGTGGGCAGTGATAACAGGGGCTTGCAGAGAAACAGTGAAGAACTGGAAAAGCCACTGAGAGGAATGAAGGAGGGAGCTGCCGGGCTGAGGAGCGTCCTGGGCCTCCACGAGGGCCCAGGCATCGCAGAGGGCCCTGGGGCTGTGGTGCTGGGTAGATGGTTATCTGGAGCTGGGCAGCTGGGCCCAGGTGTGAAGAAGTCATCCAGGAATTTACAGGGTCAGGAACAGGGGATAATACAGTTTGCTACTGACAACAGAGGGCTGTGGGTTCTACGTTAGATGGAGAAAGAAGCCCAAGGTGGAAGGGATGGACAGGAGGAAATGGGGTGGCAGGAGAGGTGAGAGAACCAGACTGGGCTCAGTCGGAGTAGGTGGGGGAGACAAGGTCTGCACAGAACAATTCTGAGTGATGACGACAGGAGGTGTGACCACAGAACTGGAGTTTCCAAAGACCCTCAACTGCGTTTTCCCCTGCCCCAGGTCCTCGTGGAGAAGGAGTGGAGACTGTACCCTCCAGCACTTTCTGTTCACCCTGCCCACCACCGGGTGACTCTCTAAGATGCTGGGGGGTGGGGAGAATATCATTCTCATCTGGTTGTCCTTCTAAAATGAAAACCTGTTAATAATCAGAGGGACTCCCACCCTCATGGAGATACAAGCATCTGCAGGAAAGGCTACCTGAGGGAAGTCTTCAGGGGCTTTAGAGATGCCCAGCCAGGGGGTTGATGCTCCTGTGAATAATTCTTGGCCACGGTGGAGCAGCAAATGGCGAGGTACCATCCATTATTTACTTGCTAGTTAGCATGTGAGACCCACGGTCATTAAATATAAATGTCTCAAAGCTCTGTGTCATTCTGAGGGCCACTGGGGGCATGATGGCTTCTAATCTGTGTGGAGCAGAGCCAGAGGGGAATTTCCAGGGAGAGAGACTGACATTTCCCCGCTTTCTCTGCTTACCCTGTGTCTGGCCTCCCAGGGCCCTCCCAGGCTCCCCACAGAGACTGAACACCCTTCCAGCAGTCATGACCTTGCTTTCCCTACAACATGACATCAACAGCCATCCTTGCTGCCTTCCAACCACTAGGTCCTCTGCTCCACTCCCTTACAGGAAACTCAATCACCAGCTTACCTCTAATCACACTGGAGTATAATTCTAACTCCAGGGATGCAGGGTCACTGTGCAGCCAAGCGCTGGCCCCAGCACCACATCTCTGGTCCCCACCAGAACACAGTACCCCTAAAACAGCAGAAGTGAGAAGGTTCAGCTGGCCATTTAACGACATACACATCCATCTAAACATAAGGGATTTTTTTTTTAATCTTGGAAAGGTGACTTATGTACCCTGATAGAGAGTAGCTATAAGTCAGTGGGCAATGTCTGCTCCTGACCAGGTCTTTAAACAGAACTGTACATGGAAATGGTGGAATTGCTAGCCTTTGTCATTTCCACAGAGCTACTCTACTTAACACCTATGCAATCCAGAAGACAAAGATGGGCTGTGTTTGGGTGAGACCTTAGGCAAAGAAAGTGTTTGAATCTGTTTTGGCCAGAGTTTCCCAGAAAGCAGAGCTTGTGACAAAAGCTCATGTGTGAATACTTAAGTGGGGAGCGTGAG